CAGGGGATCCAACACCTTCTTCTGTCCTCTGGGGGCACTGCATGACACAAGTCCACTTACCTACATGCAGGTAGTACATGCATATGCATAAAATAAAAATAATAAATAAAATATTTTTTAAAATAAATAAATAAAACACAATCTTAAAAGGGACGAATGGTGTTCCACTGACTGCTGAAGGGCATGCAATCCATGGTCACTGGGCTCCACCTAAGTACAGGAAGTGTTAGTGGCTCTCGGCCACCACCTCCCCACCTGCTGTCTCTGGTTCCTGGTTCTCCTTTAATTTCCTACCTTTTGAGACCTTCCATCACAAGTCGATTTCAAGTTCCTAATTGGGCTCGGGATTGCAAGTACTGTCTTCACCTAATTTGTTAAGCCACACGCTGAGAACTATTTCTGGATTTGTTAATCAGGTCAGGAACTCGGCGTGCTGTGACCTGAGCTCAGATGGAACGAGGTAGACAACTACAGAGCAAGCCAGTGGCCTGGGTGTTACCATGGCAACTCTGTAAACTGTTTACAGAGGAACTGGAGAGCTGTTCTATAAGCTGCTGGCAAGGGTCAGATGTGAGTCTGGAGTCACACGGACAGCTGAAGTGCAATGTTTATTTAGTTCTACTCCTAAAGGAAGAGACCAGGAGTGCCACACCAAGCTCCTGAAGGCTCAGTGGGTCTTGAGGCACCCCTGGGTACCTGTGCCTCTTGGTTTCCACCCCAGGTCAAGCTCCCTTGGGTGAGGTGAGGGAGGATTCTATGGCCAGAAAGCGTCAGGGCCACGCAATCAGTGACAGACGTTGCAAAAGACAAGGTGTCCAAGGTGAATAAGCATATACCTGATGTGTTTCCTAATTCTGGGACTGTCAGCTAAAACCTGACTTAACACCCAGGAGAAATGAGCACAAATCTGTATGAGGGGTCGCTCTCAGCAGCATAGGGAGCAGGCAAAGGTGCATGAACTCAAAGGATCACTGGAGATAACAGAAAATGTATTATAATGCCAGGTGTGGTGGCCACACCTTTAATCCCAGCACTCGGGAGGCAGAGGCAGGCGGATCTCTGTGAGTTCAAGGCCAGCCTGGTCTACATAGTGAGTTCCAGGACAGCTGGGGCTACAGGGAGATCTTGTCTCAAAAAGACCAAAAAAAGAAAGAAATAAATAAAGAAAGGAAAGAAAGAAAATGGACTATAGCCAGACAACGTAATATTCTCCATGAAAGGGCCAAGGTGGTGGCTCAGAAGGCAAAGTGCTTGCTATGCAAACATGAGAACCTGATTCTAACTCCCAAGAACCTGTGCGAAGCCCGGTATGGTAGCGCACATCTTTAATCCCTGTGCTCTATGGCAAAATGGGCGGCAGAGACAGGAGCCAGCCTAGTGCACAGCAACGAACAACAAAGAGACTGAAAAATGATGGAAGGTGAAGACTGACACCAGGTTGTCCTCTGACCTCCACGTGTGCTGTGGCACGTGCACACCGTCCCCACCGCACACACATAAACATACGAAATACGAAGAAACAAGCCATCCCGTGGAGGAAATGAGGAAGCAATGCTAAGCCAAAGAATGGAGGGAAAGCGAGGCAGGATCCCAGGCATGGGATGTGGCGGGTACGAGAGGCGAGCGAGGCCAGCAGGAGCACGGAAGGGAAGTGGGCATCGGAGGTCCTCGGATCCATCGTGACGAAGGGGCACAGCTCTGCAGGTACCCTAAAATCCAGGACGCCGCAGTTTAAATGGTGGTAGAGCTGCCAGCAAAAAACAGCCCAACAGGACCCAGATGGCATTGGTAGACATCTCTACTCCCTAATCTGTGTTCCAAAGTGAACTTCACATGTTCACTGTGGCCTGCGCATTAACCTAAGTCTGCACTACGTTTCCTAGTTCTCAAATGCAAGTCTTAGAGCAGGAAGCCGCAAGGGTCATTTAAAATGGAAACATCAGAAGGTGCGAAGTTTTCCTACTCTGTTCCTAGACTTGAAAACCATCTTCTCAAACAACACGTGAGTCCACCACTGACCCCTTATATGGCCTTCTAAAACCTGAGAACGCAACAGAAATGAGCAGCCGCAAGACTGGAGATCCCTCCTGTCCCAGGAAGCTGGCCAAGTCACACTATAATGCCAGCCAGTACTTGGGAGATGGTGGCAGGAGAATCAGGGGTCAAGGCCATCTTTGACCACAGAGTGAGTTCAAGGTCAGCCTGGCTGCATGAGATTCTGTCTCAAACACAAAAAGAAAGGAATGGAAAACGAAAAAAAGGCATCAGCATTTGGGACCACCCTGGCCTCATGAGCTGCGAAGTCTAGCAGTCAGCAGGCCAAGCAAAAGCAGAGAGGCCATGGCTTCTGACAGGTCCCTGAGACTGACCAGAAAGGAGTTATTCAGCAGCCTGCCAGACATTTCTAGTCTACTAAGTCAGCCAGAGAAAATTCTGCAGCTAAGGATCTGGATACTCAGCTTACAGTATAAGTGGCTCACCATCTAGATTAGAAAAGAGGAGTCACGGGTCCAAAGATGAAGAAAGGGGAGGGGAAGAGCATCATGTCGTATTACAAAAACAAATCTAGCCAGATAACGGTGGAGCAGGTCTTTAATCTGAGCACTCAGGAGGCAGAGGTAAGTGGATCTCTGACATCTAGGCCAGCCTGGTTTATATAGCGACTGCCAGGCCAGCTGGGGCTACTGGAGACCCTGTCTCAAAAAGACAGGGGAGAGAGAGAGAGAGAGAGAGAGAGAGAGAGAGAGAGAGAGAGAGAGAGAGAGAGAAAAAAAAAAAAAAAAAAAACTCCCCAAGCCCAGGCGCTGTGGGTAGGTGCTAGTTAATGACTTACTTCCCTCTTCCTTAATCAGGAAATTTCAAACTGGGTTTATATATCGCGCGCCAGCCACGCGGGGGGTACTGGAGACACTCTCTCAAAAAGAGAGAGGAGAGAGAGAGAGAGAGAGAGAGAGAGAGAGAGAGAGAGAGAGAGAGAGAGAGAGAAACAGAAACAAGAAACAAGACCCTAAAAATGCATGCAGTCCTAATTTGCACTGAGGCAGGAGGATGGCTCATGGCCAGCCTGGGCCGTGTCCTGAGTTTCAGAATAGCCTGTGGTAGAGTAAGACCCTGTCCCAAACAATAAAAAAAAGCAAACAAACAAAAGAACGATGGCGGTATTCGGAAACAAACTAGGACCAGTGAAAGAGTTCAGAGGGTAAAGGCACTTTGCCATCAAGCTTTGATCCCCAGCACCTATACAATGAAAGAAAACCGCCCCAGCAAGGCGTCCTCCGGCCTTCACATGCTGTGGCAACTGTGCCTGCACATTCATCACACTCACACACCAAAATAGTATACAAAACAAAACAAACACCAAATCAAAGCAAGCAGACAACAAATGAGAGCTGGGTGTGCCATCCCAACACTCAGGAGGCACAAGGATCGACGAGTTTGAGTCCAGGGCAGGCCAGAGCAAGGCCGTGCCTCCAAAAGTGAATGAAATGGAACCAAATGTGGAAAGAGGACAGGGTGGCATGGGCTCAACCGACAAGCGCCAGAGGAAATCGCCCAAGACAGACACTTACTTTCGTTCTTCATCTTATCGAAGTAGGACAGCTTAGAGGCGGCGTAAATGGCGTTGGGTGACTGCAGCGTGCCAACCACGGCGTCCATGAGCAAGACGTTGGTCAGCGCTTGCTGGATGTACTGTGGGTCCTAGGAGAGAAACAGGTGTCAACCCAATCAGAACGCTCAAAGTCCCTTGATTCTGCCTCACTGCAGAAAACAGCACTCTACACGTGTGTCTGTCAAGGCAAAGGGGGAATGGATGAGGAGTTTGTGTCACAACACCTTTTTCTTCATGTTAAAATGCGGATGGTGCCCTGGGCTCAGCTCATTTTCTTCTCTAAAAAGACCCAGGCAGGACTCACAACTCCTCACCTCTGCTCTGGCCACACAGAGACGGCCATGGACATTTCGTAAGGCAATGGGCATGGCTGTGCCCAGGGACAGGTTTGGGAACGGTCTCCATGGCAAGCTTTTGCTGACCATGCTGGCCTATCTGCTTCGCACAGCAGATGTGTAACTGAATGGCTCGGCCAAACCTGGTAGACCACGGAATCTTAGAAGGGACCAAGTCCACTCCCGCTCCATGATGGGAACAGCCCAGCTCAAGCAGTAGTCTTCCCCTAGCCACCAGACAACCTGTTCTTTCCAACACCTGCCACTGGGGCGGCTACAAGTCCCTGTAACCTTGTGGGTGCTCCTCTGTCTGAGTCTTGGTCCATCTGTTTTGTTTTGTTTATGGTTTTTTTTTTTCTGGTTTTTGAAACATGATCTTGCGCTATGGTCCAGGCCAGCCTCAAACTCCAGACCCTCCTACTCAGCCTAAGCCTCCTGAGCACTGAGATGACACATGCCACCACCTGGCCTGCTTGGCCCATGGTTTCCTGTACAACTGTTCCATTTAGACAGTATGAACACCTCCCTCCACTCATCCCCTCTTCCCATAGCATCCTTCATTCCTATGAACTCATCGCTCAGGAATCAAAGCCATCAGCTGGGCCAAAGAACATTAAAGTGCAGGATCCCAGGGACACAATCCAACAGCACCTACCAGTGCAACACTGTGACCTGCATAGCACAGGGTCACACAAAGGACTATGACCCCAAACCCACCCAGACCTGCAGGGTCAGCACAGTCCAACCCCATCCCTCCACAGACTGGGAAGACACCAGAACTGAGGGGACATACAAGCAAAACTGAGAAAGCCTGGGTTGTGGCTCCCATCCTTCCCTCCCTCTCCTCCCAGGACTCCCAAAGGCCATGGGGCCTCACACAGGTTCCTGGGTCCCATGAACAACATAATTCTTCTGCCCAGGGGCGCCAAGCCTGCACAGGCCTGAGCTGTAAGAACTGGGTGCCCTTCAGGACCTGGTCCCACCTGCCCCTAGTTACACCCAGGCAAGGCCACCGTGACAGACCTTGTAGTCATCTGCCAGCTTCTTCCCGGCCCACATCTCCTTCACCATCAGGTGCCACAGGTCACACTCAGACTTCAGGTTGGCCTCGAAGACTTCCTTCTTGGCCACCGTCTTGATCTTTAGGGTGGGTATCCTCAAGAGGAGAAACACCACCATGGTACTTTTGACTTCCTGCAGAGCAAGGAGAGTGTGAAGTCACACGCAGAAAGATGCATGGATTGACGGGAAGAAGGCAGAGGAGCCCGGAGCTGTCATACTACAGGCACCCCTGAGGGCAGCACAGGGCTCAGGCCCGGCAGGCATCTTCCTGGGAGTCAGGGTGATGTGTCAGGCACATGTGGCCCTCACAACCTTCCATGCCTCTCTGAGAACTTCCCAGAGCAAACCAGCAAAGCAGGCAGCAAGTGCAACGCAGGCCCTGTGCGCACCCTGGTGGCCATGGCCATTGGTCCCCGGTCTCCCGCCCTCTGGCCACTTGGTGGCCGACTGTGAGGACACCCATGCTGCAACTCATCTCTTCTGGGCCTCAACTCTGGGAAGTCAAATTCAACATGAGGCACAAAATAAGGTTGTTGGGATCCCCAAATCAGACCCCATGTAGCCCACACTAGCCTCAAATGCACAGCGATCCTCCCGCCCCTGCTTCCTGGGGGCTGGGATTACAGACATACACCAACCCACCTGGCTCAGACCGCCTCCCTTTGACGGAAATGACTACCATTAAAATGCAATGTGGCCAGGTGTGGTGACACAGGCCTGTTATCCCAATACTCAGGAGGCCGAGGCAGGAAGATTGGAAGTTTGGAGTCAGCTTAGGCTACACAGCGAGTTCATGTCTCAAAAACACCAAAAACAAACAAACAAATATAACATGAAAATTGAAAAGAAGCAGCGTGTGCTGGGAGCACAAATCGGCACTGTGGGCCGGGGCGACTCAGGCGGCCGGCACGGGGCGTTTGTCCAAGATGGATCGGTTCCTACACCCCTATCTCTGGTGAGCGAGTCACTGCCAGCCCCACCTCACACCCCCAAACGGTCAGCTGCAGTGGAGTGGGGCAAGGAATACACCCTCCTGACCGTCCTCCACACGCAAGTCACCCTCACTTTAGAAATGAGAAGCTGGGGCACAGGAAAGCACATGGTACAGAGGGTTCCCAGGTGGCGGGGCTGCACGTTGAGGAGGGGCTGCATTCTGGGCCTGGCACTGCGGTAGTCTCACCTCTATGTTCCTGAAAGTGGCAATCTCCACATAGCCTGGCCGCCCCTCAGGGAGCAGGAACAGGCGTTTCTGGGTCATGGCGATCTTGCCAACACCACGATTGGTCTTCACAGAGCTCGACAGCTTGTAAACGCATTCATTCTTATCCAGATGGTCCATCAGCAGCGCGGGCAGGCTGACCTCCTGTGCCTCTGCTTCTGTCTCCTTCCAGCATGTGTAGAAATCTCTGAATGTTTCAGGATCGATCTGTTTCTGATGTCCTGGGTTTAATAAGAAGAGTCTGCCTAAGGCCTCCTGCACAAGGAACTTTAAGAAACAGCGCACTACCCAGGCAAGGCGGCAGGGGGCGCCATTACCCAGGAGTCCCTGGGTGGACAATGCTGGGGATCAAATACGAGGTCCTGCACAAACCAGACAAGCCGTATACTGAGCGGTATACCGCCACCCTAAGGACATTTTTTTGTTTTTTTTTTTGAGACAAGGTCACCCTGTAGCCCCAGCTGGCCTGGACTTGCTATTATAGACCAGCTTGGCCTGGAACTCACGGAGATTTGCCTGCCTCTGCCTCTGGAGTGCTGGGATTAAAGACAAGACCAGGACACTTTTATGGAACAAAAGGCTTCATCACCATTAGAACTAGGGGCCACCATTTTGGAGCCATGAGGGATGAGGTTAACACTGGACAAACCTGCTCCTCAGAGACACAACCACACCGCCACTAATTGAGCTTTGCCTGAAACCAGCACCGGCTCTTTGGCTACAAATTGTGTTATTTTGTTGTTTGCAACTGAGATCATCTTAGTCAATCCAATATTGTCTTCAACTGCCCAGGTCACTCTGGGCTCTGGAGTCAGAGCCCCAGGCCTGGAGTCCAGCTTTACCTCTGCCTAGGAAAGGGTATCTGCTTTCCCATCTGTAGAGTGGGGGTACAGCCCCACTGTACTCAGCTGCTAAGACCTGTTGACTCTACGTCCTCACACTCCGCTGTCCACACCCACTTTGGCCTGGTCCTGTCTGAGTTATGTATCTTGGGCATGTCTTTTCCTCTGTATCCTCCGATGTGTAGTAGACCCTCCATCCTAACTGCTGTCAGACCACCCCATGATGGAATGTACAGGTGGACCCTTCCACTCCTTGTTCAAACTTTTCAGAGATGTTCATCCACACCAGACCTAAAACTTCCCCATAACTGTTCCCCTACACACCCCACACTCCAACAGCCATACTGCCCCAAACAGGCCATGCAATTAACGTGCCTCTGCATCAGCTCATCTTAACTATTAGACCAGAAAACTCCTCCTCGTCCCTCAATACCCACCCCAGGTGAACAGGCCTGTACACAGCCTCCATCACAAAGCATGTCACCCTGTCCAGACAACCACCAAACTGCACACACATCTCCCTCAGGGCACCACTGAATTCAACCACCACCACATATCAAGACCTGCACCCCACAGCCTACAGGGGATACCAGTGGGAACACAGGTACACGGGTACTTTTTAAAGACAAAGTCGCAGTTTTTGAGGCTGGCCTGGAACTCATCCAGGGCAGCCACACTCCTCAGAATTGTATATAAACTAGGAAGCTGAGGTAGAGAGAGGAAAGCCCCCTACCAGCAGCTGGTCCCTTTTCGGCAGAACCTGTGTCCTCCATGCCTGGCCTTCAGAGGCCAAGGTCTGAGGTGGACAAAGTCCAGTGGAGCCATGTTGGTGACTCCATGTTGTAACACGGTGTCAACAGTGACAGCAGGAGCATCTGCACCACTGCCACAGCGGGGCGGGTGATCACAGTAGTGTGTAAGGGGTCTGCTATGTGCAGGTTGTGGGGACATGAAGGGCTCTGGAGAAAATTTCCAAATAAGGGCAACTGAGGCCTCAGGAAGATCTGTCACCAAGTAAAGTTGTAGCACCACAATGTGCACATGGGTCTCTCCACCAGGTGCCGTTTCTAATTCTTTTCCTGCTTTGCATTTCAAAGTGGTTTTTTAAATTTTTTCTTTTGTGGTATTTGGGGATCAAACTCAAAGCTCTGCCCATGCTAGGCAAGTTCTGACACTGAGATATACCCTAAGGCATATTTAAGTCACTGGATCCAAAGAGAAAAAGATAATCACAGCAGTGAGGGGAGTCTGTAACTGCCTGTGTTAATGTCTGACACATACGTCATTGAAGAAAGCAAGGAGAGTATGTGGTAGCCCCATGGATGGGACAGGCCAGCTCTCCTCAGTCACCTACGCTGCACAGGGAATCCAGTGAGGTCACAGACAGCATGCTGTTCATCCCCTACCCCACAGGGGTGGGCCAGAGACTCCTCCTCTGCCGCTCTGGAAACACTGCATTGCAGTTGCCTGCACTTCAGGGTGCAGAGTGGCTGAGTTGAAATCCAAAGCATGTGATATTTCCATCAGACATCACATCACAAACTCCCAGTTACACGGGGTGCAAGGAGGGTCCAGAAAGCAGAAAGGGGCAGGGAGGGACAGAGTGGCAGGCCACATCATTGCTTGAGAAAGGGAGACTCAAAAAAGGTAGGGAGAGCCTTCTTCCTACACCAGGCTTCAGCAGACATCAAGTGGCCAGAGAGCCAGGTCGTACCGGAGCTGTAGAGGGGACAAGGAGTCACCAGGCATGCTAGGCATCCTTTCAGGTGAGAATAATAACATACAGGTTCCAATCCTTGTATTTCAGGCCACCACACATGGGACCCAAGGTGTACAAAGGCCTTGGGGCCTTCGCATCATGATGCCACATAGCAGCAAGGGGCAGAGCCAGAGCGTGCCCACAGGCCTCAGCTGCCTTCTGCAAGTGCCTTACGCCTCCCTCTACATGTTGATACACCCATGCTATCCTGTGACCCCTCGATTTCTGGGCAGTTCTGGCTACCCCCACAGCAGCCTGAAGAAGAGCTGTCCTACCACACCTGGCAAATGGCTCTTCACCTCCATCTCCCCAGAGAGCGTACTTCCCTCAGAGTACATGGAGATCAAGTTCCTTCTACAAGTGGCACAGTGTTAACACAAACCCACATACCCTCCCACGTGCTTTAAGTCCTCTCCAGGTGGTGTACCTAACATGAAAGTTGTTCTTTACTGCTTGGGAAATGGTGACAAGAAAGAAAACGTCTGCAGGTGCTCAGTACAGAGACAACGTCTGCAGGTGCTCAGTACAGAGACAACGTCTACAGGTGCTCAGTACAGAGACAACGTCTGCAGGTGCTCAGTACAGGGAAATCGTCTGCAGGTGCTCAGTACAGAGACAATGTCTGCAGGTGCTCAGTACAGGGAAATCGTCTGCAGGTGCTCAGTACAGGGAAATCGTCTGCAGGTGCTCAGTACAGGGAAATCGTCTGCAGGTGCTCAGTACAGGGAAATCGTCTGCAGGTGCTCAGTACAGGGAAATCGTCTGCAGGTGCTCAGTACAGGGAAATCGTCTGCAGGTGCTCAGTACAGGGAAATCGTCTGCAGGTGCTCAGTACAGGGAAATCGTCTGCAGGTGCTCAGTACAGGGAAATCGTCTGCAGGTGCTCAGTACAGGGAAATCGTCTGCAGGTGCTCAGTACAGAGACAACGTCTGCAGGTGCTCAGTACAAAGCCTCATTGCCTGGAACTTACTATGTAGACGAGGCTGGCCTCAGTCTGACAGAGATCATCAACCTGCCTCTGCCTCCTGAGTGCTGGGATTAAGGGTGTGCACCACCACACCTGGCTTTTTTCTAAATAGTTGTGATCTACAGTTGGTAGACTCTGTGAAAGTGGAACCTGTGTATAGGCCTGACTGGCCTGGCCTTCACCAGGCTGGTCAGCAGGGTCCAGTGGGGGCACAATTCCAGTGCTTCAGCAGGGAGGAAGAGCTCACGCACGTGCGTGCACACACACCACACACACACACACACACAAGCCTTCCTGTGCAGCACTCAGACACAATCAACCCACTCACACTCTGCTTACTACATGGTCAGGAGACACCTGGCATGTCACCCCTGCAAAAACAAACGTCCAAGACACAGGAAGTCCATCCACAAGTCAACAGTGGAGAGAGCTATCCCAACACGATCACGGTTGACTCTAGGAACAGGCGCAGGGACCCTCAACGTCAGTGTCTGGAAAGGCACTGGAAAGACAAACTATGCTTCCTTCCACATGGCCAGTGGGCAGAGAGGACAGACGCATGCGTCAAAACAGGGAAACTGGATCATTAGCACTAGAGTAAGAGTATGAACTG